TGCGAGTGGCGTGGGAACGATCGATGTTAATTGTCCCGAATCATTTATAAGTCATGTAATTCGCATAACTTAAACTTCATTGTAACCGTTTTGGCCTGATGAAGAGTTACTGAAAACACGTGTTCGCCAATTTGACTTTTCTATATATATATTCATCTTTTCCAGCTCATAGTCCAGACAACGATGGTAAGCCTCATGAAAAACACGTAGGAACAGTGCGACCGCCCCCTTATAGTTGGTCAGATAGACTGACTGTAGTAAGTTCAAGAAGGCCCGACTACGTGCGACCGCCAACTTGGAGAAGGTTCTAGAATGCGCGTCCCTAAAGTTGCGCGCCCTCCCGTTTAGGGCCGCGGTTATATGCCAGATTTATACGTATTTCCATACGTATTTATTGTAGGTATATATTTTCCGTATTTATACGCCAGGCACTTAGTCGCTATTTAGTCTCTCACGACAAGTATGCATATAATAAATTATTATAACGCTAAAATTATGCTAAATGGCCCTGGCATAATTTTGTTTAACTTTCCACCCTCGACCTTCCCTCAACCAATCAACAATGGCGGCCCCGACCTTTTCGACTCCCTCTCTGGAAAAACTATAAATACGGGCAAGGATTAGGCCCCAAAAACCCCGTGGCAGGCCGCCAACCCTCGGACGTCGGACTTCTGTCACTGTCTTCGTTGGATCCCCGTGCCTTCTCCAATCCCGCTGGATAATCTCTCCTTCCCCCAGTTTATTTTTGTAATTAGGTTTCCCCTTTTAGTCTGCTATTGTACATAGGCGTTCAAGTACATAGGAGTTACCAAAGCCTTACTTTCCTGGGCCGTCTCTCCTACTGACATTCGGGCTCGTTACAAATTGGTGGCAGCTGTGACCACTATGTCGGACAACCTAGTTGGCAAACTGTTTAGGGAGCTGCAGAAACTGGGACTGCAACAGCCTTCCGCACCCATGCCAGAGAAGTTATCGCGGGGCGCTGACTTCGGTCGGTGAGAGTCCAGAGTGTTGGATTACCTGCGCGGGGTTGATGCTGCGGCGCAAAGCGGAACCATCTTGGGCCTGCTAGATGACGAAGTTTACGACCTCGCACGGACAGCAGATATTTCCTCTACCATGTCGGCGTCGGACATCCTGAATTGCCTTCGTGCTATTCTCGGGGCGTCCGAGCACCCTTGGATTCTGCAGTTCGCGTTTCGGGGCTGCGTCCAGGAGCCGGGTTAACGAATCCTCGACTACCAGCAGGCCCTTCGTCTCCTGGGACGGAGGGCTTTTCCCAATATGGATGCTGCAACCCTCAATCAGCGGTTGTTGGAGCAGTTCATCGCTGGTGTCAGGGACCCTGAAATCCGAAAGGCCTTGATGCGGACGCAATCGGCTACCTTCGACGAAGCCCTCGACCTGGCACGTCTAGAGGAGGCCCTCCAAGCAGTCTGCGATCAACCATCTCAACCTCTCCTCGGCATCGTTGCTGTCCAGTCGCAGACGGCCCGCGACTGTGCAACTCAAACGCCCTGGCACCCCTGCTCCTGCGGCTCCTACTACTTCCGACAAAACCAGTGGCGTCGGCAACCGCCCCGTCGAGGCGCAGGACCTCAGACTCGCCACTCCGTTCAGGCCATTGATGCCAGTACGGAGGAACACAGCGGTAAGTACTACATTGTTTCTGATTCAGCTGTTTCATGCGTTGGTCCTACTATTTGCCCTTTAGTTGAAGGCTTTGTAGGCAGCACTAGTCTTTCATGCCTAGTAGACTCAGGCGCTGGTTGTTCTTTGATACGCCAGCAGTCCTTTTTAGAGTTCCAAACGAGGATCAGGTATTGTGATAGGCCTAATTTCAAACTTCATACTGCAAATGGCACTCATTTTCGGCATACTGGCCTTGTGGAGTTTTCTCTTGACCTCTCAGGTCTTAGTTTTACCCACCAATTTGTCGTGTCCCCGGATATCACTTGGGACTGTATAATAGGTGTTGACTTTTTAAATAAGTTTAGATGTTCCTTTGATTTCAGTAAGCATTCTTTACGGGCCGTCACGGTCAGTGTGCCTTTTCTTCGCAGTTTCCCTGAGCCACGGGGGGTACCCAATTGCACAGTTAGTGTTGATGTTAAGGACCTAGTCCCGGCACACCTCGACGAAGGTAGCGCCCGGAAGCTCAGCCAGTTAATATGCGAATGTAAGGATATCTTTGACTGGGATGGCAAATCCACAGGGAGGACTGGTGTGACGGAGCATTGCATCGACACAGGGGATGCGAGACCGATCAGGGTTCCCCCCAGGCGACATCCAATATTTTACCAGAAGGAACTAGATGCCCTTATCAGTGATATGCTTAGTCGTAATATTATAAGGCCCTCTCAGTCGCCCTGGTCATCTCCCATTGTGCTTTGGGTGCCTGAGGGGTTCCATTCAGACCAGGGTGCTCATTTCGATTCCCGGCTGATGGGAGAACTCTGCGAACTTCTTCATTTTCGTAAATCTCGTTCTACCTCGTGGCACCTTCAAGGCAATGGACAAGTACAGCACACGAATCGGACTCTCAGAGGTTTGATCCAATCTTTCGTTAACGGTTGCTATGGTTCCTCTTGGGATGTCGCCCTCCCTCAATGCCTTCTTGCCTACCGTTCCACCACGCACTCGTGAACGGGTCATACGCCGTTTGCCCTTATGTACGGCCGCGAAGTCCGTCTTCCACCGGACACTTCCTGTCCCCTCCCACTTCCGTCCCCCGATCCTCCCCACGAGTTTGTGCGAAACCTACGAGCTAACCTATACCGTACACACGGGCTTGCTCGCACCTATCTCTCTACGACCCATCAGCAACAGAAAGATTACTATGATCGTCGTGCGCACGGTGCACCTTACCAACCTGGCGACAAAGTATTCTGGTTTCAGGATAGGTTGCCTCCTGGGTCAGCCGACAAGTTCTCCACGCATTGGATAGGGCCTTTTGTTGTTGTGGAAGTCCCTTCAGGGCCTCTGATGATCCAGATGGTCCCACCTTTGCAGCTCACTTCAACAAGCTCAAACCATACGCCTTAGATGATAGCTCTTGCTGCCCTGTCTCTTCGGAGTTACCTTCATTCCCCTCCGCGGAGCTGCCGCACCCACCCACGGATCCCTCTTCAATCATCTCCGTCCCCTCTTCTCCTCCCGCTCCAGCAGTCCCTACGTCCCCCGCTCACCCCAGTCCTCTGCCTCCGTTAGTTTCTCGTACTGTGGAAGTCCCTCCCGAAGGTGGTTTCGGCATCCCGCTCGACGGTCTTATCCCCGATGGGACATCGGTCCTACAGGAGGGGGCAGTGTGATAGATAACTCGCCATGACCACTCCCTTATCATAGTCATATTTCTCTGTTTGATCTTAACTCATTGTAGAAACCGAAGAAAAAATCCGGGGCGAGGTCTCAGAAGAGGACGCCTGATTGGACAAGGGACACTCCGGTTTCCCCCATGGCGTGTGCGGTTGGATCTTCTGGCTGCCTGCTTGTGTTTCACTTCTTTTCTTCCTCTTGAGCATTCTTGTGTCTCGTTCCCCCTGCGCTCTCCCGCTATTACCGTTCCCTAATAAACACTCTCCCTCCTTCGACGAGATATTCTGATCTGTAAAGGTGTTCTGTTTGCTTGCTTGCTTTACGACCGCCCCTTTACAGCTAGACAGATAGACGGACAACCAGCAGCTGGAGCACACCGAAATTTACCTAATAGAAAAGTATTTTCAAGGTCAGACCTATATCAAACTTCTTCGATTTCCATGAAGGACATATTTTTCATGCCGCCAAAAACTACCTCACTGCAAACTTCAATTTTTATATTGTACATATCGTTATTTTTTAAAACTTTTGTTATTATTTCCCCTAAGAGCTCAGGTTTCTTGAACTTAGAACAAACTCGCAATTCGCGCTCTTTTGGCTAAACAGACACCCAAAACAAATGAAGTCAACGTGCAGTTTAAGTCAGTTTATTATGGGAATGAGTCTTTCGTCCTTGAGCCCCCTATTCATATCGATAAACAGAGATAAAGTCATCTATTACATAAGCAAATGCGGAAAGTTCAAAAGTTAGCGGTAATTGTGAGCCAGGCGCAAACTGCCGCCGCTAAAACAATCATGATTATATGTACAGTAGTTTCCCCAAAAATGAGTATCTGGTCTACACTTAAATGATCCGACACTTTCGGAAAGAACGACCGCATCAGGGGGTCCGTTCCATGCCCCAATGACCCTGTGAGAGAATGCGTCCCGTCGGACGTCCGAATGAGCCCGCTTCCTTTGCAGTTTGAAGGGATGACCACGCAGGCGGTCAGTCCCGGCCAATTCGAAGAATTCATCAAAGTCTAGGGCACACTCACGACCTCTGACAATCCTGTATGTTTGAATCAGATCGCCGCGCAGTTGCCTGCAATTTACACGAAACAGGTTTAGTTCGATCAGCCTGGTTTTGTAAGGCAGATGATGAAGATTCTTGACCATCTTCGTTGTCATCGCCTGTACTCTTTCCAGTCGTTGATAATCTTGCTTCCACCACGGTCGCCAGGCCTGGACTGCGTACACTAAGTGAGACTGGACGAATGCCTCATATGTTTTCCCGAATAGCTCTTTATCGATCTGCACAAATCCTCGCCTCAGCGCAAATACCATCTTTATCACACTTTTGGCTGCCCTTTGACACTGTGATGATGGTTTCAACGAGGAGGTCATTATGACGCCGAGGTCTTTCTGTTCCGCAACATTTGAAAGGAACTGACCACCAAGGACGTATTGAAAGGAATCGTCCTCCTTACCGGTCCACCTGGTGCAGAGTCTCAGGACCACACATTTGTCCACATTAAAAGTAAGGAGCCAACGAGCTTACCAACTGTTCAGGCTGTCGAGACTGTCTTGAAGCGCGTACCTGTCTGCGTCAGATCTGTTGGCTCTCCACAGCTTGACGTCGTCAGCAAACATATTGGCGCTGCATCCCAGGTCGTCGACGAAGTCGTTAATGTAAACCAGGAATAGCAACGGACCTAAGACGGAGCCCTGCGGTACACCACTGAGGACGGGGGTAGGAGGTGACCTTGAGGCCTCAATGCATACGGTTTGTGATCTGCCTGTAAGAAAATCTGTTATCCATGTCAGCAGCCTTCCTCTTATCCCAATTTCAGAAAGTTTGTAGATTAGGCGTTTGTGTGGGACGCTGTCGAACGCTTTCTTGAAGTCTGTGTAGATGATATCGACCCTACCCTCCTCGTCCAGTGCGCGAGTCCATTGCTCCGTCGAGAGCAATAAGCTGGAAAGGCACGAGCGGTTCCGTCTGAAGCCGTGCTGCAGGTCTGAGAGTAAGTAGTTCTGCTCCAAGAACTTCATTGTTGCTTTCTTAACTATGGCCTCCATTATTTTACAGCAGATACAGGTTAGACCAAAAGGCCGGTAATTGTTGGCATAAGTGCGAGCCCCGCCCTTGTATATCGGAAAGATATTTGCTGTCTTCCATTCCGATGGCAGCCTCCCTTATTCGAATGACGAGCGGAAGATGTGTGCCAGTGGTTTGGAGAGTTCATTCGCTAATTCTTTCACGAATTTGGCCGGTATATTGTCCGGACCCGAGGACTTTGCTTCTTTGAGATTTTTCATCTCCCTTTCCACTGCAGCTGCCGGGAAGAGTATGGAGTCAAGCACGGGACCAGCAGTCTCAACAGCATTGCTGGCAATGCGACTACGAAACTCTGTTTCTCTGGTAAAGACCGAGGCAAAATACTGTCCGAAGCGTTCGGCTTTCTCGCTGTTCTCAATGATCTCTACACCATTATCATTCAGTACTGCGATCGGGTCCTTGTTTTTCAGTCTACTTTTAAGATAGTGAAATAAAATCTTGGGCTTCTGTTCAGCCTATCGGATAATTTTGAATTCATACTCCTTCCGTGCCTGAAAGGATACATTTTTGACTGCATTTCGTTGACGACGAAATTCTTCGAAATGCGCTGGTGACGCAGTATCCCTGAATATTCTCCATGTTTTGTTATTCTTCCGTAGCTGTCTATTTTGGTTTCTAGTCAACCAAGCAGGTCGAGTTGTTTTTTTTTGTACTTTAGGTGGACAACAGCGCCGAATCAGATCGAGTGAAATCGTTTTAAAAGATCTCCAGTCGTCACCTGGATCTCTCCTGAGCAAGCTGTCCCAATTCACGGACGTCAATTCGTTCTTCATCCTATTAAAATCTGCTTTCAATATATATAAGAATGCTCTCTGTTCTCTTCTGGCGTTTAGAGAAGAGCGAGTAATCCCATAGAAGCGTAGTATGACCACTTTTCCCGAGAGATGCATTGGAATACACTTCGTCGATATTAGAGAAGTCTTTAGTGAAAACTAGGTCTGGACAGTTCGCTCTCTGGTTCTCTCGAAATCTTGTTGGTACCTTGACATATTGCGTCAGAGGGNTGTCCCACAGGATTTGGTGTTTGATAGTTGTTTGATGGCTACTTTAACCGTTTCTTCACTAAAATGAATCTCTTTTAGGATGCGTAGAAGATATGGATTGGTAGAATATAGCGAGTATATATGTGAATGAAAATTAGATATGTATGAGTGTATTTTATATAAACTATTCGG